GCTTTCTGGGTTTGAAAAACTGTCTAGTCCACTCGGTATTTTGGTGACAGTAATTTGCTCTTTAGCTCCTCTATAAGGAATTTTAGGGGAACTTTTTCCTTTTTTTTGAGATTTTTTAATGAACTATTTCAAATTTTAAACATGAAAGGTTGCGAACTTCAACAAATAGCGGCTTGCACCAGGATAGTTGATGCGATCATGCGTTTTGTGGAATCCCGTCCAGCGGAAGCTTGTGCAGCCCGTCTAGCGAACATATGTGCATTATTGGCGAAATGGGCCTTGCTGTTAGAACTATTCATTGCTTTCTATGTTTAAATATTTGTGCTTCCCGAGTTGTTAATTTTGGCATCAAAGCATTTAGTTTCCGTTTGTCAGACTTGTTTTGGGACTGAATTTATAGGCGGACAGGGAGCATTCTTCTGATAGTCAGCTTCATAACTTTTCTGGTTTTCAAGGTAATAATTTTAAAGCGAAAATTTTCTCGTGCCTGTAAGTAATTTCGAGATGCACATGAAAGGTGAATTTAAATTTACGGAGCCGTGTGCGGGCAGGGCTGAACATTCCCTTAAAATTTCAGCTTCACAGCTTTTGTGGTTGCCGAGTCATTAAATTTGGCAACAAATTTCTCGAATGACCATGTATGAGAAATAGGAGTACATGGGGGATACTTGGGCAAGGAACACTATCTTAAAATTTTGGCTCCCAAGCTTTTGTGGTTCCTAAGTGATTAGTTTTGGCTCCAAAACGTCCACGTATTCGTATGTGAGTCTAAGGCGTGCGCAGTGATTAAAAATACGGACGAGCAAGGAACATTCTCCCAAAATTTCAGCTTTTGTGGTTCCCGAGCTACTAATTTTGACGCCAAAACTGTCACGTATCCATAAGTGAGGCGCAGTGGGCGCTCTATCTGAGTTTTATGAGATCGCGCGCAGGTAGGGATTCCTTCCCAACACTTCAGCTTCCTAGCTTCTCTGGCTCCTGAATTGAAAACCCATGACAAGACACATTCGGAGCATACAGATACACACACACACAGATACACACACGCACACAAACACACACACACACGCACATACGGACAGTGTCTCGACAGTATGTGTTTTGTGCAACTGTTGCAGCACAAAACGCGCAAAAAACCGCTTCTCCTTAGTTCTATAGATAGCATTCAGTTTCCTTCTATCCTATTAGCGTTAGTCGAAACTGGGGAACAGCTCTTCTTCCTATGTTGTTTCGGAAGGCTTTTTAATCCACTCAGACCAAAATGTTTGTATGCGTAGGGCTGTTTGTTGTTCTACTGAGGATTGTTTGCATAAGGCTTTGCGTTCTCACCGATTTCCTTCAGTTCATGTCATCCACCTGCCGCTGCTTAGTTCCGCTACGTTTTCGCGCACTGCCAGTTTTAGGCAAATTCTTTCGTTATCATGTTTGTCATTAGCACAACACGTTGACGATCACTCATGCGTTTTCGCATCGAGCTGTTCCAGAACTTTAGTTGTCCTTAATTTGTTTGCAATGTACAATTTGGCTAAGCCGTCAAGCGGTTGGGAAGCACAAAGGTCCTTACTTCGTTTGCTCAGTTTTAATATCATTATAACTCAGTATGGATTTTGAGCTGTAGATCGAGATGTGATTTAAAGTTGGTACAAGTTAACTTGGTTTTCCTAGTGTGGTAAAATCATCACACATACGCAGTCGTTATGTTCTCAAAGACGCAGGCTGGCAAGATTGATCTTTAAGTTTATCATCCGATCTGAAACTTATTTACGACCATTACTTTGGCTTATTTGAATGTTTGTCTTGTAAAATTTTTTCCTTTTCTAGATCTGCAGTATCAACCAAATTAGAAGTTGAGATAAGTGGTAAAAACGAAATCCAAATATCAGTTTCAGATTTGTACAGGTTTTCTGAGTTGTTTACTGCCTTATTCATTATTTTTTACTACTAGGCTACAGATTTACTGGTTTTCATCGTCATCCAGCAAAAAAAAGTTTTCCTTGAAGTTTTCTAAATTTAGTCCTCAGTTTTTTTATTTACAAGCTTATTCGCTCAATTTTGCTTTTTTTACAGAGCAATTTAGCACTTCTCAAGGTAACGTTTCAGTTCTGCGGAATGCCGACTAAATAATCTTTTTTTTGCATTTCTCAACCTGTGTGGATGGTTATTTTGGCTTTCCGAGTGAAAAAATAAAGTTCGGCTACTGTTTCCTCCCAGAGTAGCCAGTGGGGTAACTAGGTTAATCCAGCAGATTCAGTGGGAGTGGCAGTAGGTGCGTAATTGAAAACTGTTCATGAATAAAAACCCTATTTTGGGAATTTTTGCAAACAACTTCCAATAACGCATGTAGTAATGGCAGCCTGAAAGGTACTGCCCTGATTGGTTCGTTTTTCATAAGTAGTGCTTCGTACTATGAATTCTGGAATTTACCCTTTCAAAATTTCTACATTCAAAGTTGACAACTTCCTTCGCCGTCGTACTGGCAGCAAGTGCAAATCATCTGCACCAATGAGAAAATACTCCTGAAATATTTTTCTACTAAGTTTTTTAGCTTTCTTCCTGGTGAAAAAGCACCACTCCACTTCATACTTCTTGAAGTTTTTAAAAAAATTTGTTATCCAGTCAGAAGTGTTAACTTATTAATTACAATAAATAACACATCTTATCTTGGGTAATAAAAGCCAATTTTTGAAAGCTAAACTAATCAAATCAATTAATTAAAAAATTAATTGATTTCAATTAATTTAAGTCTTCAGCTATTATGCACGACCTAGTAGCACACTTTACAGCCGGTAACTTTTCTAGTTTTTTTGACCAATGCTGTTTTGCTTGCTGCTCAGCGTCCTGTCAACAAACTTAATGGATTTCAAATTAGCATATTGAAAAAGAAATAATTAACTGCGCAGTTTAATTAGTAGATAACAAAATTTCCGTTCTGTCTAAGTATTTCATTGCTTTACATTCTTCTTATCTGTCAGTTCGAAATTTTACTGTATTTTTCATGCATTTTGGCAGAAATGCAATATAGGCTGCTTATGCTTGAGGAATACTGGCATTCGCATGCTTTTAAGCCTCTGATTAAGTGCGAATTTAATTATCTCCTTTTACTTTAAAAGAATCTGTGAATCTAGAGCCTGAATATCCAGGACTACTTTGATTGTACTTCTATTTTTCAAGCCATGTTTTAAATGTTAGTAAAGGAAGAACTTTTCAGGAACCGGCTTCATCAGCATTCACCAACAGCAGCAGCAATAACAGGCGACGGTTCCTGCTTGGTGACGACACAGCAAAGTTCATGCCGTTCATTGATGACGATGATTTTATGAATGGGGCCACATCTTCCCTCACCAATGAACTCATCAGTTCGCCCTCATCATTTGACTCAGGTTCTTATTTTAAATAGAATAAGAGATAAGCGATTGGGTTGTATACAAGAAAAGATGTTTGAATGCAGTCTGCGTTTCATCCCTCAGCTGTAAATAGAGAAAGAGAGCTTTGCGCCCGGGAAGGAGCTGGAATCAAGTGTCTTAAATTGGAAGAACTAGCTTAAAGAGCAACTTACAAAAGGTTTCGGTGAATACAAATAATAAATTTATCTGCGAATCACTGTGGCTTTGCTTAAGAATTTCACAGTGAATTTTGAAGGACAGCTAGACAATCTGGAAATTTCACTTTGAAAAAATACAACGTGGCGCAACTCTGATAAAAAATCTTCCTAGAGTGGAAAGAGATTTTTTGGAAAACTTGAAAAGTCGTGATTTAAATTCTTTTCTAGACTTCTAAAATTTCTAATTAATTAAATTTCTGAAAATTTCTGAAAATTTCTAAACTTCTAAACTTCTAAAAACTTCTTAACTTCAAAAAACTTCTAAAAATAAATCTAAAATTAAAAAATTCTAAACTAAACTTCTAAACTTCTAAAATCTATACAACTTATCTACACATCAGTATAAGCTTTTAGTGTACCGAATGATAAAAAAAACGTTTTTGTCGAATACCAGTGAGGGAAGACTAATTCAGTTCTAATTAATAAATTTATTTTATTACAAATTCTTAGAGGTTAGATTATAAATGCAATCGATCAGAAAGATTTTTTAATAAATTCAAGAAAATTGCAGTAATGCCTTTTTAGGATCGCTGTTTGATCGAATATTCCCGCTGTCGCCACTGGAACGTTTCAAAAATACTCCATTGCGTCATATGTCCAGTGGTCATATTGGCGGCATTCCCACTGGCGGAGTGGTGCGAAACATCCCAATTAAAGTGGAACGAGTAAGTGATTTTGGTATACGTTTTTGTTTCACAGCCTTCAGCCCTGATAAAAAAAAGCGCCAGCCTTACTAGTGTAATCATACTTTTGTGCGATTCTTGAAGCAGTCAGATGGTTAACAGTATGAATGGTTGTTGCTTTACAGCTTAATAGTGCAACTATGTCGGCAATATGTACAAACTGCAAAAACGATATTAGGAAGAGGCTGTACGTGTGTGTGTGTGTGTGTGTGTGTGTGTGTGTGTGTGTGTGTGTGTGTGTGTGTGTGTGTG